GGAGTTATCCAGGGTCCCAGGTGGACACATGGAGACTGGCCTTGGGTAAGACAGAGGACACAAGCATTTTGTCCTCTTCACAGGACAATCTCTGTAAAGGGTTGGGGAATGAAGCATTCAGGATGGTCTCCTCTACAAAGGCTTTCTTCCTGGCTTTGGAACACCAGCCTCTCCTGGCTTCCTTCCTACCTCCCTGGTTGCTCCTTCTCTGTCTACCCTTTCCTTCTTTATCCTCATTGTTACAGCCTGCAGTGTCTCCCATCTGGTCCCTCCTGTTCTCTTCATACGCACTCTCTCTGGGCTATCCAGTCTTGGCCCATGACTTAAAGGATAATCTCTATGCTGAGACATTCGAATTTCCATCTCTGACATGACTGCTCCCCTGAGCTGTGGATTTGTACTGCTTGACAACTCACGACTTGTCCAAACTAACACTTTTTTCACTCTCTGTCCTCCCTTGTGACTTCTATGCCTTTGCCACTCATTTGCCCATCTCAATAAATAGCATTAGAACCTTCCAAGTCAAGGCTGGGACGAGAGTGAGGTGAGCACACCAGTTCAGGAGGCCCTCACCCTCAGGGGCCCACCTGCACCTGCATGGCCCTGAGAGCAAGAGCCTCCTTGAATATTGTGCCCTTGGTACTCGTTTCCTCTCCACCCTGACTATACCAAGCGGCTCCAGCCAAATGCCTAGAAATCACACTTGATTCCTCTTACTTTTTTTTTTTTAATTTTTTTTATTCTTATGCTAATCCCCATACATTACAACATTAGTTTTAGATGAAGTGTTCCATGATTCATTGTTTGTGCACAACACCCAGTGCTCCATGCAGAATGTGCCCTCCTCAATACCCGCCACCAGGCTAACCCATCTTCCCACCCCCCTCCCCTCTAAAACCCTGTTTGTTTTTCAGAGTCCATCGTCTCTCATGGTTCGTCTACCCCTCCGATTTCCCCCGCTTCATTCTTCCCCTCCCGCTACCTTCTTCTTCTTCTTCTTTTTTTTTTTTCTTAACATATATTGCATTATTTGTTTCAGAGGTAGAGATCTGAGATTCAACAGTCTTGCACAATTCACAGCGCTTACCAGAGCACATACCATCCCCAGTGTCCATCACCCAGTCCCCCCATCCCTCCCACCCCACCCCCCACTCCAACAACACTCAGTTTGTTTCCTGCGATTAAGAATTCCTCATATCAGTGAGATCATATGATACATGTCTTTCTCTTTTTGACTTATTTCACTCAACATAATACCCTCCAGTTCCATCCACGTCGTTGCAAATGGCAAGATCTCATTCCTTTTGATGGCTGCATAATATTCCATTGTATATATATACCACATCTTCTTTATCCATTCATCTGTCGATGGACATCTTGGCTCTTTCCACAGTTTGGCTATTGTGGACATTGCTGCTATAAACATCAGGGTGCACGTACCCCTTCGGATCCCTACTTTTGTATCTTTGGGGTAAATACCCAGTAGTACAATTGCTGGATCATATGGTAGCTCTATTTTCAACTTTTTGAGGAACCTCCATACAGTTTTCCAGAGTGGCTGCACCAGTTTGCATTCCCACCAACAGTGTAGGAGGGTTCCCCTGATTCCTCTTACTTTTTAACACCTGTATTCAGTCCTTCAGGAGGCCGTGTTGACTCTGCTGTGAGCTTAGCAAATGCAGCCAGTTCTCTCTAGTTCCATTCCTAGCGCCCCAGCCCCGTCCTTGTCATCCCTCCCCTGGACCACTTATGGGGTTCCCTTGGTTCCATTCTTGCCTTCTCCCAATCTATTTTCCACACAGCAGCCAGAAAGGCAATTTCCATTTTTACAAAAGTAATATACGGACCCAGTGTTAAAAGATGACTCGTTCTATAAGGCTTCTAATGGAGAAGAGCACACTGCTGTCCCAGCCCTCTTCGGTCACATGTCACGCTTCCCAGAGGTGAGCTTTTGCAGCCCTCAGCAGCTGCTGCCATCCTGACACTGCTAACATTTGACTTGTACGTTTTACTTATTTTCTACTGAATTCCAAACGTGGAATAAGACTTACCTCTCTTATCCCCCACCCCCATCACGCAGATATGTGGCGATAACATCTTTCTAATTTAAAGTAGGAGGAAGTCAGCCGTCCATGTGCAGTTGCTGTCTGGGCGGGGTGGGAGGTATGTGGGAGTCCCACTGTCTCTCCCGCGGATCTTCAACCCATTCTTTTGTGTTCAGCCCCTCTTGTGACAGCCTTCAGAGCCGTCTCCCTACTTCCAGTTCTAGATGCTGAGGCAGGAACCAGCTTCCTTCCTGGCTCCCCTCCCTTCAGACAAACATGGTTCTCCCTTGGTCAGGTCAGTCTGACAATGTGGCCACCCTTGTCCATCTGCTTTCCATATTGCACCTCGTTCATATGTCTTGTCCACTGTCATCTCCCTCTTATTCTTTTTGTCTTTATGGGTTCATTCTGCTTTTACCTCGTCTTCGTCATTTTGTTGGGATTTTGGGAGGACACATGTAGTCAATCCATCATGTTCAACTTGGAAGTCAGGGTAGTACCATTGTGTTCAGCATACATTGCTCAAACTTTTTTCTTTTCAAAAAGTCTTTGCTTTTTTTTTTTTTTGAGAGAGAGATTTATTTATTTATTTGAGAGAGAGAAAGCACAAGCGAGGGGAAGAGCAGAGGGAGAGAGAGAGAGAGAGAAAGAATCTTAGGCAGGCTACACACCCAGTGTGGAGCTCGACATAGGGCTCGATCTCACGACCCTGAGATCACGACCTGAGCCGAAACCAACTGAGCCACCCATGTGCCCCTCAAAAAATTCTTTCTTGAATGATCAAGGGACATACTATAGATATAAATGTTGTCATGTATAACATTGTCATGACCTATGCTGATCTAGGGCATAGAATAAAAATGTTAAAATTATCAATACATTCAACAATATTCATTCAAAAGTACTAATTGAGCATTGACTATATGCTCAACACCTCTTCAGGGGTTTGGCATAAAGAGAACAAAATAGACATGTTGCCCAGCCTCACAGACATTCATCCACACTGGGGGACAGGCCAGATAATAGTCAATTACCACAATAAATTCGAATGTCTCAGCATAGAGATTATCCTTAAAGTCATGGGCCAAGACTGGATAACCCAGAGAGAGTGTGTATGAAGAGAACAGGAGGGAGCAGATGGGAGACACTGCAGGCTGTAACAATGAGGATAAAGAAGGAAAGGGTAGACAGAGAAGGAGCAACCAGGGCAAATTGTAGAGTGTTTTAGAAGGTGGTGAGACCTGCAGAAAAAATGAGCAGTAAAGCTGGGTAAGGAGGATACAGACTGCCAGGATAGGGACAGTTTGCATGATGCAACAGTGTAGACAGGCAGGGCTCTGCTGAGGGGTGGCTTTTGAGCCTAGATGTGCTGGAGGAAGGGGATACATTGTGGGCTATCTGGAGAAAGAGTGTTCAGGACAGAGGGAACCACAAAGGCCCCAGAGCAGAGGCATTATAGTGGCAGAGAGGCCAGGGTCCCAGGGATGGCATGAGCGAAGGGCAGTGGGAGGTGGTGAGGGGAGAGAAGTCATGAAGAGCAGATACCATAGAGACCTTGTAAATGCTTGTAAGGACTTCGGATTTCTGCCCCCAGTAAGATGGGAACCAAGGGGGCTCTCTGAGCATGGGAGTGTTGTAAACTGGTCTGCTTGGCAACTCAAGAGGCTCTCTCTGTGTGGCAAATAGATTGTAGGGGCAAGAGAAGAAAAAGCCAGTTTTAATCACCCAGGTGTGGAATGACAGTGGCTTAGGTGGGGGTGGCAGCAGAGGGGTTGATGAGATGCATTGGATACTGGACATACATGAAAGGTAAACCCCATAAAATTTTCTTAGGGTTTCAAGGAAATAGAGTCAAGGGATGACTCCAAGAATTTTGGCCTGAGCCTTTTGGCAAAGGCTGAGGGGTAGAGGAATTTGGGGGGTGGAGGAGATTCATAAATAGCCAGAGAATCAGAGCCATGAAATCAAGCCAAAGGGTGGTAGGAAATAACACAGAGAACTCTTCTATGTAGTTTAGATCCCTGATGACTTTCTGTTGCACACAAAATCAAGCTTTGTGTCAAGATGATTGAGAACTTACAGAACTGGCTTCCTCCCACCTTTCCCACCTGACTCTTTATCCCTCTCCCCAGCACCCACTGCCCTCCAGCTACAGCAGCCTTCAGGATATTTGCCTTAGCTCCTCTGCTTGAAATGCTCTTTTTAATTTTTTTTTCCCCTCCGTGGGGCAGGGAGTCTGAAATGCTCCTAATCCAGGTTTCTCCTTCTTATCATCCAAATCTTAGTCAATGTCACCAACCCAGAGAAGCCTTCCCTGGCCACCCAATTTACTACTTTAGATTATATCATACCATTTTAATTTCATCATAACATGTTCCAAAAACTGGTATTTTCTTGCTTGTGTGTTTATTTACTATACAAACTTATTAACCTGCCTGAGATACATTAGAATGCAAGTAGCCTTGCCTGTCTTGTTTCCTGCTGTGTTCCCAGGCCTAGACCTATACCTGGCACATAGTAGAGGTTTCACATTGCTGAACGAATGAGCATCACATAGAGCTTTCCCTCTGAAGGGAATTTTCCTGCCCACTCCCTGACCTCTACCCCCAGATCACTCTTTGGTTTTAATGTGGAGTGGTTTTCTGCCAGGACCTAGATGGGCTGCACTTTACAACTTCTGATCAGCTAGAAGTTTCTGGTTTCCCAAGAGGGTTGTTGGTGGTGCAGAATCTCTGCTAACATTCTGGGAATCAGTAAGAGAGCAGATAGTCAGCAGGCTGGGTTGGAGCCTGAAATGTCTCCCTCCCTGCTCAGGGAAGTGCCAGGAATCTGGAGAATCTTCTCTTCCTTCAGTCTCAGCCAAGCTAGAAATACCATTATCAGAAGGAAATGAAGAGACCTTGGTTGACCCTAAGATGGGGATGCTTCTCCAAGAGACCTCTGATTTTAGTTGCTTTCAGTTGAATAAGGCTATGGGATGGGGAAGGGGCTGAATAAGGTCCTTTTTCCTTAAGGAGGGAGAGAAGAAGGATTTGGGTGCTGTTTGTTCCTCATCCTGCTGCTTTTAGATGACCTGAGAAAGCAAATCTCTACTCATCCCCTCAAGGTATTTTGACTTCAATTTTTGTCCCCAGCAATCCATCCTATACCCTGTAGCCAGAATGATCTTTCTCTCAGATAAATCTTTCTGTGCTTTACTTTAGATATTTTCTATTGCCTTTTCTCTAGGTTCACTAATCCTCTGTTCAACTGTGCCCACTTTCTTTAACATATTAATCATAGCTATTTAAAAATGTTCTAACTTATTTCTATTATTCATTTTTCCCTCCTTATCATCAATCACATCTTCTTGTCTCTTTGCATATCTAGTAATTTTTTATTACACATTGGTCATCATGTATAATAGAATCATAGAGGCTTTGAATGATATTCTCAACCAGCAAGGATTCCTTCTTTGTTAGGTGGGTAGGGTAAAAAGACTAACACCTCAGTCCTACCAGAGACTGAGCTGGGTTGGAAATGGATTGCAGTTTTAGTAAGACTCAGCTAATCTGTAGTTTGTCCTTGTTCCTTGAGTGAAATCTTTCTGAAGTTTTGATTTACAACCTGCTGGCACTCTCTTCTCAGCCATGAAAGTTCCTTCCCCTTTAAAGGATGTATCACTGGGCCAGCAAACTAATGGCTTAGGTCACATCTTGTCCTCTGCCTGGTTTTGTATGGCCCACAAACAAGAATCGTTTTTACAGATGAAAATTTGCAATCTGTTTGGTGATGGGGAGCATTAAGTCTGAATCCCTACTAAGTGAAATTCTATCTTATCCAAAAGAATTCGGTTCTTCTTATAAGTAGACCTGTATTACAAAAAAATTCATCTTCTATCATTTTTATTGCAATTTGAATTTAGTCAAAAAATTTGTGAAAATCTGTTTCCTCTTTTGTTATGTAAATACCTTTATAATAGCCTCACTTTTGCCTCTTGGTCTGCAAGGCATGTATATAAATATTTACTATAAAATAAATATATATTGGAGCATCTGGGTGGCTCAGTTGGTTAGGTATCTGACTCTTGATTTTGGCTCAGGTCATGAACTCAGGGTCATAGGATCGAGGCCCGTATTGGGCTCTGTGCTCAGTGGGGAGTCTGTTGGTGTTCTCTCTCTCCCTCTCCCTCTGCCCTTCACCCCTTCTCTAAAGTAAGTAAGTAAATAAATAAACAATAAAATAAATATATATTATATCTAATAAGTAATAATAATAATTATTATTAAATAAAATGTTTACATAAGAAGTTTGCTAACCTCTGGTGTATCAGTTAGAGTTTGATCAGAGCAGCAGAGCCAATAAGAATGACATGGAATAATGATTATATGGATTAGACCTTATGCAGTTGTGGGAGCTGGTAGGGGAGTCTATGGAAACCTGCTGCATCTGTGTTTAGTGGTGGGCCAGAAGTTGCTATAGATCAGCAGAGTACTGTTGTCTCAATCCACTTCCCAAATCTCAAATTTATCTTGTGACCACCCATAATCTGGTACCAAACAAGGAAAAGAATTCTGGGAAAGGCACTTCCAATTTAGCTAAGCTAACACAGTTAGCACCACTGATATTTTGAGCTTAGATCTTTATCTTTCCACTCTGGGTGTGTTCAAAATCTGGCAAGTATCCTAAAAGAGACTGGCATGTTTGTCATAGCCCCCCTCCCTCTGATTGTGGGGGAGGGGGGAGAGACTTCATTCCTTTTTCCAGTCCTGGTGCCCAGCCTCTAGTGTTGTCCTAGGTCAAAACCAGGTTTGCCTGCGGGCTCCTCTTATTTCCAGTCCACCAGCCAGCCCGGACGACCTTGAAGACTTTCCTTGTTCCTCTTTCCTTGGTAAGATTCCCCTGGCTGGGCCAAGTGCCATCACCAGCCTGTGCCCTGAACTGGCAAGAGTCTCCAAGGAAGAGGAGAGCCAACATTCATCAGCTCACCTAGGAAAGGCTTTTCCTTCCCTAGACTTCATTGCCTCCATCGTACTCTTAGATTCTAAAAAAAAAAAAAAAAAAAAAAAGAAAGATTTAATAAAAGAACTTTAATTTTTTCCAATTTTTCCTTTTTTCCCTAGTCATTGCAGCAGGAACATTGGCCTGCAGCAACCTTCCCTAGCCTGCCTGAATGCAGAAGTCTCTCTCAGGTCAATTCATTAGGGCTGCTTCCTGCTTTGATTGAACTTTCTTCCCATTGGCCTCAGGAGAAAATCCTGTCTCATCACACGTGGCTCTCCATGCTCTCTACTTACTTATTCAGTCTCACCACCCGGACTTACACTTTCCCACACACTGCATATTCTCTCGAGCCTCGGTGCTTTTACCCATTACAGTGTCTGCCCAAAATGTCCTTACCTGATTTCCCACTTAACAAACATCAATTAATCCTTCAAATTCCAGCTGAAATGCCAAATTCTCTGTAGCAGGCTTGGGTGCCCCTTTCCCTGTGCTCTCTACTGCCGTGTACTTGTGTGCATGTAGGTTTATGATCTCCACTTCCAGCTGAGAGCTCATGGAAGAGGGATTGGGCCTTGTTCATCTCTGTGTCCCCAGCACCCCGGGCCGCTCCTGACATCCAGTAGACATCTACACTTGTACACGGAGAGGATGAAAGCAGGAGGGAAGGAAGAAAAGAAAACAGAACTAGGTAAAGAACAGAAAAGACAAATAGAGAAAATGATGGAAGCCCATCTTAGAAGGGCATTCCAACTGAATCCAGAAATCACCATGATTAGAGTCATTCCAACCCCCAGCCGGCCCCAGGAAGATGCTTGTACCACAGGCCTCTCTCCTCAGGAGATGGGGCTAGCTCACGCCTGCTATTTGCAGGAGTCTATTCCCAGCACACCTCTCCGATGAGCCAAGCTGCCATTATGGTCTCTATGTGCTTTATTTGGACCGACTGGGCAAGCTGGGACTTGTCCATGGGCTGGAAACTTCTGCAAATAGTGTGTGGATCCCAGAATGGAAGGGCCATGGCTTGCTGGAGAGGTGGGGCCTGGCAGGAGTTTGTAAGCTGTTTTTGGAGGGAGATAGCCCAGGGTCTACCAGGCCCACAGAAGCAGACAGAATGGGCTTTGTTCTCCTCTAACTTCTTAGACCTCATACCCAGGCTCCAGGAATTACGGGGCCCACACAATGTCCCCAGGCTCTGCCTAGCTTTTCAGAGCCCTTTATATTTAATACTTTAGCAGGTGCATAAGCAGCCCTGGAAAGGCAACAAAATGAAACAAAAAAACCCTCCTGGAATCCCACTGTGAGACCTCAGTGTACCCAGGGCTTATTCACAGGATTGATCCACATTCTCTTCACATTGGTAAGTGCCCTCCCAGATTCCAAACCTCCTTCCTGGGACCTGAGTCCCAGAGCAGGTGGTGGTTGCTCACCTGTACCTGGGCCGAACCACCAACGGGCAATTTGCATTAGCCACACGTGGATGGTTGTCACTACCCTGGAGGAGGCAAGTTAATGATGTTCATTGAGGTTAACTGGAATCAATGGCCGCTTAGCCCTTCTCTCACCCTGGGCTGAGGACCCTCTAAGATACTGCTGGTTGAGGTCAGGTTTTCCTGGAGCATGGAAAGGGCCATCCCAAGAGGGCTGGTAGGGTCCTCCTTACTCCACATACCTCCTCATGGGCTCAAGTTCTTTTACTACCTGGAATAAGACTTCTTTCCCCCAAAGGCCATGCCAGAGAGGGAGGGACAGGTTAACCCAGGGCAGCCACTAACCCTAGGATGGCAGACAAGCAGCCCCTGTGATGGCATTGTCCCTGGAGGGCTCGGGGCAGACATCCTGAATCGATCCCGGCACTCTTGCGTGCTGCGCTAAGCTCTGGCCACAGTCCGCAAATGAGCACTCCAGGTAGCCCTCCCAATCAATCACGGTTGGCGGCAGAAATGAAATCCATTTGCCATCCTTACATTAATCTTTTATCAGAGATTAATTTGTCTGATCGGTTAGGGATTTCCCACAATAAAGCTTTGCCTAGCAGAGGCTGGGGCCCCGAGGGAATAGGGAGGGTTTTCATTATCTTGATGGGACATTGAGGGAACGGTCAAGAAGGCTGGAAACTTAGAGGCTCAGAGTGACTGAAGTGGTCGTTGAGAGCCCCGTCAGTGACGGCCCTCCAGGCTTGGCATGGCCCTCACTTTTTCCTTGTTCTGCCGTGTCTGGCTGCTTGCAAAGGGTGTGCCTTTAACCCCATCACAGTACAAACACGGTTCTGGCAATATCTCCCATTTGGTACATCTTATTCTCAGACTGTCAGGTTTTATGTTCTATTCCATGGCCATCAGTTACTAGAGATTTGTAGCTTTTGGATTTCGGGGCACTGTCCTGAGCTGTGGGGAGGACATGTGTCCTCCCACAGCCTTCTGACCCCAAATGATAAGGTCTAAGAGTGTTGGGCCTTGACTGTGGAAGGATGACCAGGCAGGATGGGTCAGGGTGGGCAGAGGGACAGCCATGCATGTGCATGAGCGTCTGCGACATGTGTGTGTCCTGGGGCGTCGGCCCACCATTGGCCCTCAGCCATGTCGGTGCATGTCTGGAAGGTTTGTTGAGGAGGGAATGGACTGTTTTTAAGAAGGACTGAGGAGCTTCTTGGGCAGGCAGGAGTTAGGCTGAGGAGCAAAACCTTTGTCTTTAGAGGGGCTGTCACTTGGATTTGTCCCCAGCTCAGTGTCCTATGGACACATGTAAAACTCCAGGTTCAGACGAAAGGAGACCTTTCAGCGGAGACCTTGAAAGACATTGGGTGCAGGAGCAGCCTCGCTATGGCCCCAGGTGACAGAGCTTCCCTTCAGGCACAGAAGGCCCTGTGGCCTCAGCCCTCAGGCTCCAGACGCTATAGCCCCATTCTGGGGGCCTCAGGACTCCCGAGCTTTCTTGCTGTGGTGGCCGCAGCGTGGCCCTGGACAAGAGGGCATGAAGGGGAGCAGAGGGCCTGTGCTAAATGGCAAGTCAGGGGACACGTCCGCAGCACGGGCGAGGTGGCTGAGGACTCCTGGAGATCAGCTTATCACGGAGCCGTGCTGATTTGTCCTAGTGTCTTCCTCCCACACTGGACTGTGCCCTCTTTGAGTCTAGGGACTGCACTCAGCATCGGACCTTGCATAAACTATTCTTGAATCAACAAATGAACACTGTGGAGTATATATAGTAATGTTTATAAATATTCTCCCCGGGAAACTTTGCATTCCTCCGGGGAATAAAATGTACCCCGTGCCCACTTCTAGAGACAGTCTGGAAGAAAAGGGAAGAATTCAGATTTTGGAGCCAATAGAGCTGAGCCGGCAGTTACCACCCGTGTGGATGGGGCGGGTCACTCAGCCTCCTTGAGTAAGAAGGGCAAAGTGTGCAGCCCGTTCCTGGTACTCCCGGACTGCGGTTGATGGCAGAGAAAGAAAGCCCAGATACAGCAGGTTGGGCCTGGGCATGGATTGGAACACGGGGTCTTTTCGGTCAGGGTTCAGTTTCACTCCCCCCACGGCACTGGCTTCCCTGGGACCCTGAGTGGGAAGGCGGGTTGGCAGAAGCAGCCAGAGGAGAAAACAAGCGTGGTGCGTGGGGTGAGGAGTTCTGGGGCTGGCCGGGCTGGGGGCACCCGTGCTCAGTCTCTGCCTGGCTGGGGCCTGGTCCCGGCCGAAGTGCTGTAGCCCTGCACCGGCCTCGAGACCCCAGGCTGTCTGGAGCCCCCCGGGATGGGCTCACAGCCCCTCGAACCTTGCACGATGCGCCTGCCACTGTGGGTCTCGGGGAAACAGGTCACACTGGAGGTGGGAGGCCCCCCCGGAAGTGGTGGCTTGGTTTCTCCCCGGGAGTTTTCAAAAGCTTCAGTCGCATCAGCTGTTCCAAATGAAGATTCTGCAGGCAGGCAATGGGGGCCCCCCATCAATGTCTGCCTTCAGCTCAGGTCATGATCCCGGGATCCCGGGATCGAGCCCCGCATCGGGCTCCCTGCTCGGCAGGAAGCCTGCTTCTCCCTCTGCCTGCCATTCCTCCTGCTTGTTCCCTCTCTCTCTTTCTGACAAATAAAGTAAAGTAAAATAAAACAAAATAAAGTAAAAATAAAATATAAGATAACAGGAACATAGCTGAATAATTCAAATGGCACAGGTTGGCCGATGGTGGACCTCCTTCGCTTCTTCACCCTGACGTGCTGTTCTCAAGAGAGCCCTTGCACTGGCTCCTTCTGTTCATCTCTCTCAAAAAGACACAACTGTACTTCAGTTTCTTGATTTTCCAGCTTCAACATTATCTACGGATTAGTTATTTCAGGATTAGGATTAGTCCCTCTACACACACACACACACACTTCTACCCCTCCCTTCTCTCAATCTGCTTAGATCACAAGATTTGATTAAATAAGTATCCAGGGTTTACTATAGTACGGCTATAAGTATAATTCACAATTAAGCAGCCTATTGTTCCATGATTACATTTCCATTCTTTAACAACGTGTTATTTATTGTTTTCTGGGAGGGTGGGGAAGGGTGATAATTGCCTCATTTTTTATTTGCTTTAACTTCCTGTCTCTATCACTAAATCTCCCCATTCTCTTCCCAACACAGCCGGGAAGTGCCAGGTGCATGTCTTCTTGGGGACATCTACCCCAGACTCTTCCATGCCTTCCGGTTTCTCTCCAGGCCTTCTGCACACCTGCGGATGTCATCCGACGGCCTTCCTTCATGCAATCTCAGGAATTCACTTGTGTCCCAGGTCTGATTTCCTCCTCTTCCTTAGTGTTTTCCCTTGTTTGGCGAGTCACGATCTCCGGTGGCTCCCCGAGAAAGGTGCATGATTCTGAGACCTTGAATGTTTGTTGAATGTCTGAAAATGTCTTTATTGGTACTGATTAATAATTTGACTATTAATAATTGACTGATTTGTAACATGACTATTTGACATCATTTTTCCTCATCCTTTCGAAGGCCCTGTGGTGCTGTCTTCTAACTCATTCTGAGAAGTTTCTGGCTGGAGGTCCGATGCCATTCTCATTCCTGATCCTTTGTAGGTGACTTTTTATTTGTTTCTCTCTGGAAACTTTTGCCCCAGTGTTCTGAAACGTCATGATTACATGACTCAACAACCTTTGCTTTTCACTCTCTGGGGCTGTACACTAGGACAGTATTTCCTATCCCACAGTCCTACATGGGGTGCTGGGGAAGGATCCAGAACAGCCATTCCTTCCTCTTCCCTTTTGGCCAAGTCCCAGTTGCATTGGATTGTCCACACCTCTACCAGGGAGCTCAGGGGTCAGTCTGAGTTGGCTAATCTCATCAAGTCCTTGTTTCCCCTTGGCAGCAATTGGTTCAGGGATGGGCATGTCACCACTTCTAGCCAGTGTGGCATGAGGGGAGGTCGGCTGGGAAAGGGCCCCTCACTCTGAATTAGGAGATGTCTGGAAGAAACAGCCCTTCTTCTTCCTGTCTGATCATGATGTCAGCTGCCATCTTGTGACCACAGGGGGATGGGGGTTGATCTTTGAGGAGAGAGGTACAAGCTGAGATGGCAGGGAGGAAAGAAGGGGAGGACCTGTGTCCTTCAGGGCACCATGGAACCACTGCATTAATCTGTCACAGCCACCCTACCTGGGAGCCCCTTGTTAGATGAGGCGATAGCTTCTCCCTGTTGTCTAGGTCCGTTAATTTATTCCTTGCACCTGGAAGCTTCCTAACTGACAAGGTGAGTGATGTTGGCATGAATAAATTGTAGTCCCAGCCTCCAGGGCCTGGATATATACTTAAATCATGGAGTTAGGCACAGGGGTCCAAGCCAGGTGCTGGTTTGGTCCTGGGAGTGAGATGTCAATCAGAGCCAGACAAGGGACACAGATGTGAGGTGGGGGTGTCTCGTGGTCAGGGCTTCATGCTCTGGAATCCCGGCTTTGATACTTGCTCACTTGGTGAACTTGGTGAGCTACTTCACTGTGCATCTAAGCCTGGCTTCCTCATCTGTATGATGAATGTAATCACAGTATCTGGTGTTGAGATTATCAAATGAGATAACATGTGAGAGCTCAGGACCTTTCCTGTGCAGAGTGAGTGCTCATGACTGCCAGGGGCCGGACCCACTGAATACTGAATCACGGCCTCTTCACGTCCTCTGCATAAGGGGTGCTGAGTGTCCCAGCCGGGCTGTAGGTGAGACTGGGATGTCAGCTGTGGGGAGAACCTATTCTCCCCAAGGCAGTGGGGAGGGGACTTGCGACAATTTGAAATATCTCCAATCCATGGAAGTTACAAGTTTGAAGGTTTAAAGAAAATACATTAGACCAGTAGTTCTCTCTCAACGTATACATGCAGCGGGATCATCTAGGTGACTTGTGAAGCACAGCTTGCTCTGTCCTGCCCCAGAGTCTCTGATTCAGTAGGTCCCAGAGAGCTTGTGAATTTGCATTTCTCGGAAGTTCCTAGGTGATTCCAATACTGCTGGTCTGGGTCACAGAGTTTGAGAACCACGGTATTAGGGGAAGTGGAGAGAGAGTAAGACCATTAGGGAAAATCATTTGCGGTTACTGTCTTTTTAAATTTTAAATTTTATTTTATTAGAATGATGTTATTATGGAAAAACACAAACATACACGAAAATAGAGAGCTGTATAATGAGCCCTCATGTCCCTACTACTCGGCTTCAACATATACCGGCTCATGTCCCGTCTTGTGTCACTGGATGCCCTCTGAATGCACCTCCTCCCTCCCCACAGCCAAGAGCACAGACCCCAGCCCCGTCTCTGGCTTGCTCCCAGCGCTCAGAAAGGGGCCACCTCTTTGGGGTCCAGCAGCATGGAGAGATGACCAAGTCAGGCTGTTTTTGAAGAGTTGGCACAGGCATCTGTTGACAGTCCTCTGTCACCCCCTCACATCCCCCCCCCCCCACCATAGGTAGGCAGCTGAGGCGGAGGCGGGCTCTCCCTGGCCAGCTACACAGCTGGATGGCTACGGGCTCAGCTAGCTGTCACCACCAGTCTCAGGCTCTGAAGACTAGTTCTCCTCCAAACAACCTGAGCCCCTGCCACTCCATCATTCAATCAACCGCAGCGTGCCCGGTTCTGCTGGGGAGACCGCAAAGGACAAGACCCCGTCCAGCTGGGAGACTTGGTCCATAAACTGGTGACCATGAGACAGCAGGCTGAGTGCCTGGGTAGAAGCTTCTGCAGAAAGGGTCAATGGGAGCCCAGAGGAGGATGCCCCGGCCCCAGCTGGCGGGAGGCGGGAGATCTAGGGAAGCCTACCTGACTTGCTGATGCTGGCGCAAGTCTTCAGGGCCTAGGAGGAGAAGGTCCCGCCTCCCTCCTTCATGGGCCATGTGTCTCTTGCTGTGAGAGTCATCCCGCCTCTTCTTAGCTCATGGTTCTTTCCTGTAATCTGTGTGCATTCCCCTTGTCCGGTGGCCAGGGCACCACTGTCCTTCCCCTCCACACGGAGCCTGTGGCCGGCTGCCGCCCCTCTTGTGAGAGACGGTGTGGGTGAGGCATGCGGGGTGGCACTGTTGAGGGTTGGGGGCACGTGCCGAACACTTAGGCGCGAGGCTTGGAGGTCAGCTGCTCTGGAGTTAAGCTAACTACGGAGTTTCCTCACTTACTCATCGGAGCGATGAATCCGGGGGTGAACTGCGCTCCTCCCAGCTCCCGGGGTTCCCTCTTCTTCTGGCTTGCGGGGGGTCCTGGCACTGCCTGCTCCGTGCATGATGGGCGTGGGGCGGGGCCTGCACTTCCGCACCTTCAGGGCCGGGGTTGATGCGGGGAGGGCTGTGCAGCCAGGGAAGGGGTTTTTCTCTCTGGGGCCAGGTGGGAGACAGACCCCAAAGGGCCTTGACCACATCAAGGGGTCCTGCAGGCAGCTCTCAATCGATGCTTTGCGAATGTCCTCTTTAGAAAAATGTCTGTGTTTCCCAGCGTTCTTATTACACAGGAGCCCTTGTTCCAGATCTCTCTTCCCATGACTAAATCCAACCCAGCGTTTTATCATCATCTTTATATTTAATTAAATTGCTGTTCCCCATTTAGTATTTTCAATTAAGCTCCTAAAACCAGATCTTACTTATAGATCTAAGTTTTACATTGCAGGTTTTTACAAAGGCTTTGTCATGGGAGCTTTTTTATATTTTATTACTATTAATCCCCTATAATAAATAACATCAACTCCAATAATGCTACACTTGTTGCTTTCCCCCGACTCCTGTCTCCTTCCACATTTATTATTGACTCAATTTATGTTCCTTTAAATCGGTTTCAGTCTGGGTGGCAATACTCTCATTTACTGACTGATCAATTTGAATTTGTTTTATAAGATTCCATTAATTACTGTGTCCAATTCTCTTGCAGTGCCTGGAACCAGTGCATCCCTTTAATCCCCTAGAATTCCCTCTAGTCTCTCTGGCTGCATATTTTCACTGGAATGGTGTCTTCGAGTTAGGGCTGGGGGGCCCTTAGATGCTTACATTAGCAGGTATTTTCAGCCTTATTCACAGCAAGGAGCAGATGGCTGAGTCGCAGGTGGCCTGATTCTACCTCATACCTTAGTCCTCTCAATCTGGCCCCTTCCCTGGTGAATCCCCTGAAAACCCTGCAGGGGGCAGATGCGAGGCTTGGCGGGGGGTCAGTCTCTGAGCAGGGGCACTGGGGGACTCACGTGCCATTCCTTTGGTGCATGGCTGGGATTTCCTAGGATTGGTCCAGTCAGCCACACAGGCAGCCCCCTTCTCTGGATAGAGCCTGGACACACAGGCGTGAGCCTCCCTCTCACATAGGCTGGAGGTGCAGAAACCCCCGAGCTTTGATGAATTTCTTCCTTTTCCTTAAGCTGAACCCCTCTCCTGGCACTGTCTTCAGGGCCATGCGCAACAGCCTCCCAGCCTCCTTTGCCCTCGTATTTGGAAAGACATTTACTCTGTGTTGCCTGATGGTCTGATCAGTTTGCACCCTTTCAGTTGGTTGGTTACTTACAGGGAGAACATGAGGCTGCACACCCAAATCTTCTCCGCAATACTCAGGTGCAAGAGGAGGGATGCACTTGACAAATTTGGGGTGTGCATTAGGTGAGCACCAAGTTCCAGAGATGTTACCCACAGACTTACTGAAGAACAGCCTGGGCTGTCAAATCTGTGTCTCCTCTCCTGGCCACAGATACTTGGAGAAGGTTGAGTTTTAGATCAGGATTGGCTTATTGTCTGGGGCAGAGCAAGAGCGCGCACACACACACACACACATGCACACACATGCACACACACGCACGCACACACACTCCTTTCTTCAGTTAGCTTGAATGATCTTATTTTCTTGCAAAACAAAGCACCTCACCTTGGATAAGGGGTGAATTGCCAAAGAACAACATACAAGAGATGATAATGCTCTGCTGAAGCCTCACTCCACATGTCCTTGGAGAGAGCGTCTTTAATTATGGCAAAGACAAAAGGCCAAGGCCAGTCACGGCGAGTGAGTGTACATCCAGGCCATGAAAAGTGGCTTAAGAGGGAAGACAAAAGGAACTGTGTCTGTTTCTGAAAGGGCTTGAAAAATTCCATGCAGTATGAGTTAGGAAGCTTTTTTATGATGCAAGGTATTTTGAGGCAGAAGCAAGTGCCCAAGAGTGAGGAGAAAGACCACAGAGAATCGCTGTCCTTAGAAGTGATCATGTAGGATTTGACTCCCATCCACTGCTCCCTGCTGGGTAGGGCGCTGGTGATCATTCAGCCTCTGCTGGGATGTCTCTGGAAATGGGGATCTCTCTCCCTCCTCCCTTCCCAAAGGAGGCTCTTTAATTTGCAGTTTATGGAAATCTGTTGGTGTTCCTGACAAACTTCTATCTTCCCTTCAGTAAAAAACAGCCAGGCTTTTTTTTTTTCTTCTTTGAAGAGTCACCTGTCCTCCAGTCTCAGTCCTTGTGGTTTGGGCAGGGCAGACCCCACCTCTCAGCTTTAGTGGCGGGCATGTGATCCCAGCCTGGTAAATTGTCATGTTTCGCACTATGGCCACAGTGATTGGTCATGTGACCCAGCATGGGCATGTG